ATTTTTTGTGTTTCAAGCACAGAGTATAACACTTTGCCTTCATATTGAGACTTCTTGACATGAACAAGGGTCAGACGATGTGTTCCTCAAACGCATCAGCTCTCTCAGACCAAATAAATGAATGTCACGTTTCAGGACTAACTGCATGGGCGCAACGCCGTAAGAATTTTCCTACAGTAACCGGTAGAGTAAGCTTGGCGGAACTCAGAAATCATTTAATAAATGGGGCCCCGCCGCGGTAGTCTAGTGGCTGAGGTACTCGGCTGCTGACCCGCAGGTCGTGGAATCAAATCCCGGCTGCAGAGGCTGCAATTCTGATGGAGGCGGAGATGCTGTATGCCCGTGCTGTTACACTCCCTGGAGATGGTGTTACACTCGCTGGACGTAACCTCTTTGGTTTTAGAAAGGTTTAGAGAGCATTGGGCCACAGTGTCATGAATACAGTGAACTAGTATATACCATGAACTCGAGGTGGTTAAAGGTGGGAAGTAGACCCGAAGCGCAAGATGTAAGTGTGCGTGGGCCTCCTCTCGTTTAGTCCTTGGAATGTCCGCTGGATGGCGGTGCTTCTATATGGGGAATATATGATGAAAAGATGTGAGATGGTGGTACTTGGAGTGTTGAATTGATGGACGAACGAACACACAGGCAGCTGCATGGATGAATGCATGAACGGACGCAGGGGCGGATGCATGGACGAACGCAGGGACGGACGCACGAACAGACGCATGCATGGACGGGCGGATGGACGCATAGACGGTCACACAGATGGACGCATGGATAGACGGAAGCAAGAACGAATGGACGGACGAATGCTTCGCCCCAGTGTCTATCATTCACTCCGTGGATATGCTGTCATTTTTTTTTGTTCAACAACGCACAGAAGAAATCTACCACTGGCACCACCTTGGAGGTCAAAATGTAAGACTGGTTAAACACTACTACTACGACTACGAGGGACGAACTGTTGCCGCTATAAGGAGCTTCGCCCCTAAAAAATGACAACATAGGACGCTCATAGCGTGCTCCTGGCCATTTCGCCAGCTTCACATGTACTAAATTTGGTATCATGTGACGTGAATAAATGATGGTGGTAAACGACACATGCAAACATGATAACCATGACACGTAAGTCATGTAAGGCATAATTTACCTCCACCTCGTAACATTGTGCTGAACTTAAGAGTGACATTCGTGCTTCGCATATCATCGATTGCCAATGGACGTGGGATCTGCCTTTTTTTTTCGTTTTTTAAATGAAAGTGGTGCTTCATAAATGTAACTGTCAGTTCGCAATGGATGGATGCACGAAAAACTTCATTGTGCTCCTGAAGAATTTCGCCCCTGTTTCAACGGGAGAAGATCACGAGCCGCTGCCACGTAGGGACGGGGAGGTATAGCCTCACCGCTGTGTCGTGGGCCTTCAGGGCAACCTTGAGCTGTTGTAGGAGGATTGCGCTCTTGAGCATAAAATAAAAAAAAACATTTTCAGGAAGTCTTTATCTTTTCTTCGTAAAGAATGTGAAAAATGGCAACTGGTCGACGAGATCTTTTTGTAAGACAAGCTAGAAGATGTATACATATATAGTAATGGAAACGTTTAGCTCTGCGTTTGTACACCTTTCTCCAGTCTACCACTTGGGCGCTGTCCAGTTTGCCGTTAGGAGGTGGATAAACATGCCTAGATTATTTATTGCCGTTTGTAATTTAACAATAACCTGTAATTCTGTCCCTCTCTGTCCATCTCTCGATGAGACTTCTAGTCACCAGAGTGGTTGTTTATACACGCTAGTATGGCACGTGTCATGAGACTACACGCTCTGCGTAGACTTACTCGTCGAGGAAGGGCACCATGGGCGTGTGCAAGGTTTCCCTTAAAAGGAGGTGAAGGTTCGTTGCAGTATCCCTACTCCCTATAATGCCGATGTATAGTGCTACCTAAATGCATGTTCGCGCGTGTGTGCGTATTAGTATAATATGGCCACGTTCCTTTCCTCAAGTGTGGTTATTGTCTCGTCACACTACGTTCAGCGAAAACCGCGCCTACGATGTTCCCGAAGCTGCGAGGCTGTAGTAGATCGTTTTGTTAGGATAATGCCCACTTTGGCAACGCTGATGGATATGTAGGGTTTAACGTCCCAAAACCACCATATGATTATGAGAGACGGCGTAGTGGAGGGCTCCAGAAATTTCCACCCCCTGGAGTTCGTTAACGTGCACCCAAATCTGAGCGCATGGGCCGACAGCATTTTCGCCTGCATCGAAAATGCAGCCGCCGCAACTGGGATTTGACTCCGCGACCTGCGGCTCAGCAGCCGAGTACCTTATAATCACTAGACCACCACGGTGGAGTAACACTTCGTGAAAATTACAGATTATTCTAGAAACAACGTCACCACCAGCGATAACGCTAGAATATTCGACGGCATGCGTATAAATGCCGACACGCTTCGCCGCTTGGCAGTTGATCGACGGCTGACGCTCTGTTCGCCGCAATCAATGCCAGTATCTTGCTGCAATTTTACTTTCCTTTTACGTGACCACAGGTGCAGCTGAATAAACTGTTCAATCTTCTACCTACTGCCTGCTGCGTTCGCCGACATCACGACCCCATGACAATATGCACATGTAAAATTTAAAAATTTCCAGAGGCATTGGAGAGGGGGGGACTGAACCCGTCCAACTGCCCTTCCCCTGGCTATCCTGCAAGATCAGTCACCACTCCTGGTTTTGTGGCCTCTCTTTCGGTTTTAGGACAATTAGTGCAAACAATCCCCTTGCCAAACTTCCATTTGCAGCATTCCGTAGTGTTTGTTCAAATAGGTGGTATCCTCGCTGCAGCGCCAAAAGTATATACAACAAGGTGAACGAATAACCCCCGACTTCCTAAAGTAGTGAGTGAGTGAACAACTTTATTCACTTCCTGCAGGTTACCGGGCTGGGTTCCCACCTAGGAGCTGGTTGAGAGACCATGTCTCTCAGCAGCTCCTTTGGCCTGCTGGATCGCCCAGAGTTGATTATATAGTCCTGAGCTGAACAGCGGGGTCCGCCGACGCTCCTGTAGGTCCTCATTGGAGGCCGCGTCTTTCGTTTGACCAATTAGTGCTGGTCATTCCCAGAGAATATGCGCTAATGTGGCCCTATTACTACAATACTTGTACAAATTGGTCATATACAAGTCGGGGTAAATGTGTTTCATAATTTCAGGATTTGTGTGGGTGCCTGTTAGTAATTGCCGCCATTGAACGAACTAGGCCCGGTGGAGCTTGGGGTGAGGCGGGGAGTATTCCCGTCGTTGAAGTTTATATTGTTGGAAAATGTCGTTGAATTTTATTTGGTAAGTCTATCCCCCCACTCCCACTCCTCCACAAGAGAGTCCTTACGGGTGGTGTCAACCACTGACGTTGTCCGGAACGTGAGACCTCGAGCCATGTCGTGCGCCACCTCGTTAAGATTGACATCCGTGTGTTCGATGGGTGTGTGGGCGGGAAACCAGATAATGCATGCAATTAGGTCGTCAGAGCGAGTTTTGCCTACTGTAAGGACTTTCGGCGCCACTGGAGAAATCCTACCATTTGCGAAATTTCGGACTGCTGATTGTGAATCACTGATAATATACTGGGCATCGGTGTGAGCTATGGCGAGCGCGATAGTGACCTCCTCTGCTGTATCCACGTGATTTGTATTGATTGAAGCGCTGGTTATGCATTTGTGCGTATGGTCTACAACCGCAGAAACAAAATGGCGATAGTTTTGATAGCGCGCTGCATCGACGAAGACCGCCTCCTTATTGCTTCCATAAGTTCGGAGCACTATTTTGGCTCTACTGATTCTTATACCTTTGTTGTGATCAAGGTCCATGTTCTTTGACAATGGTGGTATCATACGTTTATTGCGGATTTCACGTGGTATGTCGCATTTCATATCATGCTGTGTGTGGTAAGAAATGCCGAGACTGTCGAGAATTTGGCGACCTGCTTTCGTATTGCTCAAGCGCTCGTACTGCGAGATCTGTTGCGCTTCAATTATTTCTTCAACCGTGTTACGAAGGCCTAGTTTAAGAAGGTGTTCCGTGCTGGTACTGTGCTGAAGCCCTAGCGCCTGTTCGTAAACTCGTCTGATGAGTGCGTTGAGTTTAGCTCTTTCCGCCGCAAACCATCGATGGTAGGCAGCGACATAAGTAATGTGGCTGAGCACGAAGGAGTGGATAAGCCGAAGAATACTACATTTCTTCCCTAAAGTATCGACGCCGTGTAATTACTTCATCATTTCTTGCAGTATAGACGAGGTCACATACTTTTTTGATGCCCATTTTCCCCGATCATTCTTGATGAAACTGGAAATTGTGCATACCTAACACGAGCCTTTTAGAATGAGCATTTCTATAAACTCACATTTCTGTGAGACCACTACGGGAAGGGCGACAAGAAAAAAAGAAAAAAAACGAGTGTTTTTTCTATGTGTGTGTTCGCATCGTGTCACAGTGGTGGGCAGATATTAGTGTGTATCCCATAATCAAAGTACGTGAAGGTATGCCCACAGCTGTACTAATACAATGCATATATATTAAAACCTTCTGGGTGTGGAACTATGGCATTGAGAACGAAGAAAGTAACCGAAAGCTATATGGTTTTGTTTTTGTATGTGCCTAAAGCAAGATATTATTATAAGACAGACCATGGTATTGGACTGCGGGTTGATTTTCTTCGCCTGGAATACTTGTGCTTGCACCCTAAGTCTTATGACACGCGTTGCGTTACATGTCACCACCTCTGAAAATGCCGCTGCCACCACCGGGAAGCAAACCCGGACCCTCGTGCATTCCTCTGCACAAACGATAGCCGCCGAACCACCGCGGTGGTTCAATCCGGTCTGTATTAGCGCCTCGATCACCTGTCGCGTTTAATGCATTGCCCCACTTTTCTCTCTGGTCTTCGAAACCCGCGTTTGCTTCGTTTAATCGCTCTCTAAGAGCCTTTCGTGCACGACTGTACGCGCAGTGTGCGGCCTCCTGGAAGGCGGCGCCATCGCCCTGGTGGGTCCCGTGGGTGGCGGCCACGCGTCCTCGTTGGCTGCGTCGGTGTGCGCCGCTCTGCGGGTGCCGCAGCTGGAGACCGAGGAAGACGCCGCCGAGGGGGCCTTCACCCTCGACATGGCCCCGTCGCCTCGCGTGCTTGCCGACGCCTGCGCTGACCTGCTGGAACGCTTGGGGTGGCTGTTCGTCGCATACCTCTACGAGGACGCCGAAGGTGGGAGCGCCTTGAAATGCGCACGCTTTTGTTTTTTCTAGGCGGATATGTGGCGTTCTCTTCAAAGGCTAATAAAAATACATTCACTCCGAAAAGTATCCATAAACTGATATTTTGTTTGTATATAATACTAAAACGTACGGAACACATTAAATCGATACAGCGTTCTGAAACGTATGTAGACTCTTGGACTTATCTGTCTTAAGTTTTTTAGCACACTTTCAGAAGAACTTACGCACGGACGCACAAATAGATGTATGGGTGCGTGTATACGTATCTCTAAAATATAACGCGGTCGACATATTTGCATTGACGATAAATATCTCCTAAAATGAGCCCTAATTCTCTCGCTGTTTTTTATTCACACTTATTCAACAAACACAACTGGTTAAGCCGAAATAATGCTCCTCTGATCTTGCCAGACCGAAGTGAGTCTAAAGCGACTACACACCACCTTGTCATGGGTGCTGTCACACTAGTCACGTGGCTTCTCTTTACAGACAGGTCACATGCATGACTATATTGAGACGTCTTCCATTAATCATTTCTTCTTTCATACATGATCAATACTTGATCAGCCATACTCATAACAGTATGAACACTGGTTTCTTTGTTTCTTTTGTGTACCTATTTTGTATTTATTTGTTAGGCTTTTTTCGCATTGTATACTTATTTTGATCCAGCAATAGTCGATTACATGAAGACTATAATTTATATTTTCGGGTAAGCGTGTTCAATAGAAAATCAATAGGTATAATTAGGTACATAAATTAATAGTGGAAGGTAACAACATAAACGTCACTCCAGTTCACACGGACGGGACTGGCGAAATGAGCTTTTCCAGTTCTATCGTGCACTGGGTGGATGTGTTGCTTTGCGCAGCTGCATCAAGTTATTGCTTCCTATTTTTTTGTTTAAGCTATGTTAATAGCGTAATAAGTGTGTCGTTGAAGTGCTACCACTGTTGTTCCAAACAATCAGAGCACTTTGCCCCCTTTCTTACACAATAGCTGTGCTATAGTTGTTTCTATAGTCTATTTAACATGATCAATTCAAAGGTGGAACACCAGTGACAGACTACGCCACGATACGTCGTCCCAGTAATGGCGTTTTGTATGGCCCAACTATTTCAGTCGGTGCCTCGAGGACAGAGAAAAAATTGCCATGATTCTTGTTTGCCACCGTAGTTCAATGGTGTCATGAGAACCGTGTGTTTATAAATGTGTGTCTGTACTTTCTCAATAAATATCCTTGGTGGTGTACTTCTTGGATTGAAGGTATCTTCATAAATGGGCACGTTAAACAGTCCCCTTCTACCCTTGGCGCTTGCAGTGAATGCCATAAAAAATGCTGAAGCAGCAGGGTAGCTTGCAAGCCATTTGAATAATCCCATTACAAACTTTTATTAGCTTTTGTAAAGTCACCATATTCTTACAAGTCCAGCCCATCATAATTGGTGCGAACCATGTTTCACTGGACTAACGTTAGTGTGTTCACGATGCTCTCCTTTGGGCCGCTCATCCAGCTTAGTATTGACACTTTTTTCATGAACCAAATTATACTTAGTTATTTTTCATACAGCAAGGAAATGTGCCTGTTCAAAATCTGAAATTGGAACATGTGTCAGAGGCGCAGAAGTAAAGTGGAGAAGTAGTTTTAGGGGGTAGGAACTTGTGTTGTTTGGACTCAGACTTTTGACTCAAAAGGTAATAATTGCTGAAAGCTAGCTCATCAGCAACAAAAAGGTCCCGAGAGCAAAGAGTTCTTACTGGGAAATCTCGCTCACAATTGAATATTTTTTTCAGCATGATGAAATGCATTCATGTCAATTATTATCCTAAGTTAATCGTCGTTAATTATTTATCTTATAAATTAGTAATTGGAGAACTCAATTCGAAAGTATAATTATCTCTTCGATATTATTTTTTGTTTCAACAAACTTCACTGATCCCGTAAAATGTTTACCTATTTTCAGCTAATGATTCATTGTTGCTGCGCTTTTTGTACAGCAACGGCATATTAGCATTGAAAGGTTTTTTTTTTTATTTTATGTTAGGTTTTTTATGCCTGCTTCCAAACGAGGCCTCGGACAGAATGAATTGCGAGGCGACCGATAACGCTTAGTTGAAACGCTCTTGTCGATGGTTCATGGATCATTTACATACCCAGCAGTTTTATAGCTACGGGTGAGCATTGTAGTGGCTAAAGAGGTCTTCTCTGCTTTGCGCACATGCTTATATAATATGGTTACAAAAACGAGCGATAATGCTTTCCTCAAACTATTTAGCCACAAAATGGTGGTCAGTGTTTCTTTAACTGAAAAAAAAACAGGTCACTCTATTTTCTCACTGACACATTTCATAATGATCTTCTCTTTCGTTAGAAGACATTCCCTAGATTTTTACAGCAAAGGCTCTTATGAGATCACAGCAAGGGTCGTTTTCAGCGCCGTAGTTGTCCACTGCCTGCGATGTCCGAAACCACTATGGCGTGAAATTAGAAAAAAAAGATTATTCAAGCGAGAAATACCAAGGACAAAGTGGGATTAAAACCCAGGTAATATACCACTGAGCAACGCCGGTACTTGAAACTCCGTTGCAAACTGACACTAAGCAGGCCTCATGTTGTGAAAGGAATCACGTTAATAAGAGTTAGAACGGCAAAGGAACGACAAGGCGTCACACAATCCGAAGTGCGTGACGAATGGGAGGTCGAACTCTTCAAACCATTACAAAAGCTTCAAGCATTAATCTTCATCGTCGTCAGCCACAGCATCAAAAAATTGCATAAAATTTTTTCGAAGTATGTAGTGGGTACCATGCTTCTCTGAAGAAGGACAAAGGGTGACATAGTGAATGGGTATTTGCCATATTACGTAACACACAAGCAAACAAACAAACAAACAAAATTAACGCCTCTCCAGTCTACAGGAGTTATGATTTATGGCGTAGTGGGTGACCTGCAAGTGTGCTTGTAGTCGTTGTCCCAAGGGTGTTTGAAAAAGGCTTTTAATCTTTAACTGGGCGGCATTTAATCAAGTAAATGAGAATTTCTTCTGAAAGCTACCCGGTTCTTGACCTATCCCCTAGCGTGGTTGTGTGCCATGTCCAAGCTTCTACTCGACTTTGCTTTTTCATACAGAGGCCGCTCTTTCGGCTTTCGCTGTGACTGTCCTGCACGCTCTACGGCGGCCGGACAGTTTTTCGAGTGCTTTCTTTATTTTTAATAATTAACAATACCAATTTCTGCACCCAGAGTTCCCTCTCACATAGTGAGGAGACCATTGGAGTGGGCCTACTGTTTATTTTGGTAAAATTAAGATAATTAAGTTATATAATTCGCGGCATGGTACATTTACCGGAGCGTTTGAAATCCGGTTGATACGATATAGATGGCAAGCGCTGGTGCAGAAATCTTGACAGCCCAGCCGATAGATCAGCGTAGCCGATATGCTTACCAACTACGCTGCTATACTGCAGTAAAACTCGTGTTATGCAGGGGCGCCAGTAGATTATCATTACAGGCGATCATGTTTCAGGCTCGAAAATCAGCCAAGTGGCAGCTGAGCACTCATAGGACAACGGTTGTCGTTGCAAACAGTGTAAGACGCTCACTACGCCTTTTATTTGTATGCTTACCGACTTTTGCATCAACTTTCTGCACTTTAGAACGTAATGCGGGGCCTAGCCATGCGAATGAAGTTTGTGCCTGCAGGCCTCGAGCGACTCCAGGAGCTCGAGAGAGAGGAGGACATGTCTGAGCGCAAGTTGCTCGCTTTCGACCTGTCTGAGGACGACGTGTGGTCAGAGCTGGTCCAGTCAGGCTACCGCAACATCATCATCGATGTCGACGAAAACCGCATTGAGGACGTCATGATGCAGGTACGTGGACGTCTGGAACCGTGAGTGTCGGCAGGATTTTGTTTTGGGAGTGCGAAACCCGTCTTGAATTGCTGCTGGGAAATGGGTGGAGCGTCGGTTCAGCCTAGGTGGGGGACAACTGCTGATGTACCTTGAGGGAGACGAGTAGCCCTTTTGCATCCCCTCCCCTGCCGACGGCCATGTCGGGAACAGCTCTTGTTCATGACAACGAGCATCAAGGCTTCGTGGAAGGAGCTGATAGTGATATTCCCGGTCAGCTGAAAAGCAGTTAGAAACACACGATAAATGCATGGAGTGCAAAGAGAAACAAGGGCGCGATGGCAAACGGCACATATTACTGTCCCATTTGATGACTTGTTAATAAACAGCAAGTTAGAATTACTTCTTAACGTCCGTGCGCGCAGAGTGCTTTCCCAGAGAGGGAGAGAAAGAGAGAGAATAAAATCCCGCAAGCTTAAGAGCATCTGCATGTAATAAGTACGCCAGTCAAGCAGACTCTGAATGGACGGTAAATATGAACGTTAACTTCAGTTGTACACCACGCAAGTGCTCATCTGTATGATCAGGTCGACAAGAGTTATAACGTGAAATAAGCAAGACAAGCAGCGAAGGTGAATAATTGGCTTAAAATGATGTCGATATGTACACGATATTTTAGCACGTGCTTTTTGCTAAGCAATAGTTTTTAGATAAACGTCGATAACATCGAATTAGCAGCTTTCCGCAGCTGTGTGCGAAAAGCAATAGTCCAATCATGCAAGAATGCTTGCAAATCCACAATGCTGTAGCAGGCAGCGTTACCTGGGTGTGAGATATGTATGATACTGCGATGTATGGCTTAATTATTGAGTTCCCAAAAATTGTAAAGGCAAGCGAATGCCCATATACCAGGTACCCACTAAACAACAGACAGATTTAGTTGCGCTTCCGCAGAAGGCGTATACGAACTTGGCCTGTCATTGAAAATGGCCAGCAGGCTGCGTCCGTACGACTGCTACGGACGCACAACTAAATCTTTCTAATGTTTTGGAACTTGCCGCTGACGCACAAAAAAAGAAAACACATTGCGAACGATTGTTTAAGAATTGGGTGCCTGCACATAAATAGGCTCTCGAAGGTGTTCCGGTTACTGGCGTATTAGTATGATCCGTTATTTCGATAATTATAGCTCTCTTCGTCATAAATTTGTAGGTGGTTAGTGGTATACAATATACAAAACTGATATTTTATCGAGGTCAATTGTCATGTCACGTCGCCATATTTCAACCGATAGCTTTTCATTTTTGCATTCATGCCATGTCGTTTCGAGCATACCATGGGTTTCGCCTCAATAGTGGCAGTGGTGTTGCGCTTCTAAGCACGTCAGTGATTGATTGATTGATTGATTGATGATTGATTGATTGATTGATTGAGTGAGTGAGTGAGTGAGTGAGTGAGTGAGTGAGTGAGTCCATAAATGTGGGTGAACGTCCAATTTAGGCATCGAGGTAGGAAAAAGGTTAGAAGGGAGAATTTCATAATCTTATCAAGAATGCGATAGGTAGAAAAAAGAAATAGGTCCGGCACGCACGCATTCTCGCTACGCTTCCCCCCAATTTCTCGATATGGGGAGGGCTCGTTTTTTTTTTCTTTTTACATGCGGAGCATGATATACTAGGGGCTAGTCATGCGCCGTCACCATCCGCAGCCTCCCCTCCTCTTCCGCCAGCCATCTGTGCATCCCTTCCTCGTCTCAACACAGCGCGCGCTGCGCTCGCTTCTCCCCTCCGCGCGCCACGCGACCTTTAGTTTTACGTGCGCCAGCTGTATGTTAACACGCGTATGCGCAGGCCGGCATGCGCAGGCCGTTCGTTGCCGATCAACACGAACAAGAGTGGGGAGGAGACGTCGTGTGCTTATGTGCTTACGACACATTCCGGGGATGCAAGACTCAAGCCGTGGTCGACAACGCTGGACGCAAGGTCATCACGATGTCCACCGCCGAACTTGGAAACCTGCCCCACGAGATACGGCTGGTGGTCAGCCAACCGTACATGATCACGCACAACATCGACGTGGTGGACGGGCTCGTAAACGGCGCCGTCGGCACGCTAAACTTTACGAGCGCGTCGACAGCGACGACGTCTTCATCAACCGCCTGTGGCTGCAGTTTGAAGTGTCCACTGTCGGAACATTCGCGCGCGCACGTTCCAAACGAGCCGTACTAGAAGCTACGCGCAAGGGATACGTCGATGACGACGTGTGGATCCCCATCGATCGACAGACTCTCACGCTGACCATCGACCGCAAGGCCAGCGTTACCTGCGAACGGTGCCAGTTTCCGGTCGTGCAAGCCAGCGCCATTGCCGTACACAAGTGACAGGGAGCCACTTACTCCGAAGTCGTCTTCGAATACTCAAAGACGCATCAGCAAAAGCTGGTGTACGTTGCCATGAGCCGTTGCACCGACGTCAACAACCTGTACCTCATCAACGAAGCCGGCAATCACCACTTTCATCACGCGCGCGAAAACGTCGACAAGAACATTGCCGACGAGTTTGAACGTTTGCAGAAACACAGGCTGGACACCATCGCCCAACGATGCTTTCGCGCGCTCGAAGACGTTGGCTCCGAGTCCCACTTCACCCTGGCACTGCTCCATACCAGGTCGCTGGGCACTCACGCGGTTGACGTCGTGCGAGACCCCGTACTCCACAGTGTGGACGTGCTTTGCTTCACTGAGACGTGGAACGCCACCAATGACGTCGACGTTGCGGGATACGCTCCGGCCGCGTGCACGCACGGGTTCCAAAGACCTGCGGGCGGCGTGAGAATTTGCGTCAAGCGTGACGACGTCGACTCCGTCGAAGACCTCCAACAGCAGCCCGGCGCTCAACAACGCGCCAACGGCGAGCACTGCGTCGCTAGCGTCTGCGGAGTCGACGTCATGACGATGTACCTCGCGCCCAACCTATCGCGTGCCGCCGTGGAGAAGTACGTCTACGAAGCCGTGGAAGAATACCTGAAACAACGACCGTAACGACGACCATTCGTGATATTTAGCGACTTCAACGTCGATGTCATCAAGGACGATTGAGTGGTCGACTACATGGAGTCGCGGCACTCGCTGAAACGAGCAACGCACGACGGAAAACATCATCCGACCATGGTTCACGGGACGTGCATCGACCACGTCTTTGCAAATTTCGACCTTTGACCGCTGCAACCAGACCCACTCACCCTTCACTTTACGGACCATAAAGCCATCTTGCTCAAAATACCGAAAGCGCATCATCAATAAACATTGTCTTTCGCAGCATACGTGCGTGCGTGTTCACTCATGTTCACTCATAACACACACGCATGTCGCAAATTAAAAACCACATTTATCGCAGTTCAACATATATGTTCTGCATGCTAACCAGTGTTCCCCCTTGGGAAACTGCGGTCATTTTTGTCATATTGATAATAACTCTTCCTAACAATCGTGGAAGAGCAGTTAGTTCTGTAGTAGGCTGGTCTTGAGCATTCTCTTGTGGGGTTCAGGTGCTTATGGGTTTAAAAATACGCACTATTCAGCTAGCCAGTGATTTACATCATTGCATGCGCATTCTACAGGAAAGGAGGAACTGGTAGGCTAAGGATTTCCGAGAGCGAGAACGTCAGGCTGGCTACGTTAAGTCTATGGTTATCCTCTTCAAGGCAGTGCAAATGCTGTGGACTCGTTGCATTGGCACTGAATTGGTCGAGCTGCACACAGGGAGCCAAGCTTTCGTGTTATTGGTCCAGAATAGGACAGCTTTGTGCGGGACCAGTGCCACTCAAGCAACACAAGAATTGTTTGAGTGTCTACTTTATGTAAGGTGAAATTTCCGGAACCCTCCACTACGGCGTCACTCATGATCATATGGTGATTCTGGGACGTTAAACCCCACATCTTATTATTATTTACATTAATATTCTTATTATATTTGCTCTAATGACTCACCGTCCATGAGAAAGATCACAAATGCGTCACTACATTTTGAGCGATAGCAGACAATTGTCTGTATGTATTCGCTTTGTAGCCTGATAGGAACAGCGAAGACCCTTCTGTGGTTGTGTAGACATCTATAGAATCATGTGCCCACGATTTACATTTTCACTCGGGCAATAGAGTGGAGCTGGTAACGAACTGCACAGATCTGCCACAAGATAACCACTGAATGTTATGAGGTAAATCACGGAATGTTAAAGGTTGCCGCAGAATGTTATATAACACACTGCAGCGCGTAATACCATAGACGGCATCACGGCGCAACGATTTACACGCTAAGTTGGAAACATGTACGGTAGCCCATGGAGGAGAGACAATATTTGAAACAGACAGAAAGCATACGCGATGAATTGCACAAAGCTCAAGGTTTTATTTCCGACGCTGTTGAAGTGAATTCTTAAGAACAAACGGATGACGCTTCCGAAGGAAGTCCAACTCTATGGTAAGCTTAGTTGGAGATAGTGCGAGCAACATGTATAACGGCGTCCGAAGTTTTATCAGTGGAACTTTTCTTCTTCAAAGACTTGTATTCTTACGAGTATTTTTCTCACTTATAATTGACAATAGTATCGATAAGGTATCTGTTATCTCTCTTTAGTAATCTGTGATAGGGTACTTCAGCAAAGCAAAAAACTCTCGCCCATTACACTTGAATATATATATATATATATATATATATATATATGGATGGAGAGAGAGAGAGAGTGTGTGTACAAGTGTGTACAATAGCCCGTATTAAATCACGTGACATGTAGAAATGGCGAGAGGTGTGCACACAGAGTGGGAGGGGGGCAGGGAAGCACCTGTTCCCTTAGTTCTCTAACAGGGGCGCACAAAGTCAGCTTCGTATACTGATAGGGAGAAGGGTGCTTCGGCATATCTTCTCCTAATGTGCCTCGACGTGTACGCCCTCCTGAGGGTGTTGCCACTCTCCGAAGCGGCTGATGCCACTTCAGCAGTTTTTGTCTCGAGTCCCACTTCTATATCCGGAGCCGCCGTAGAGTGGTGAGACGTCGGTAAGACACCACGGGCGCAACTATGACAGCCGCGATTCCTTAAACGCCGCAGATAGCATCATTATAATGTGATGAAAGCGCGCATCAAGGCACCCAACCTTCGCCCCTCATTTGAAGAAGAACCCTGCGCGCACCAACGGAATTCATCAGTCCTGCGCCTGGTTTCTCTCTGCCTCATTACACAGATTTTTTTAAGACACCGTTGTGTCTTTTTCGCAGGCGCTCGAGGCGGGCTTGGTGACAGAGCTGCACAGCTACCTGCTCGTGTCCTTGGTAAGAGAAAAAGCAATGATTCATCACTTGCTTGCCAGTACGTGTGGAGTGAATGATAATGACTGTGGAGGTAAAGAAGCACCAACCTCACACGATAACGCTTAAGGAGTTCTCTTTCTCCTTCACTCCATTTCACGACATCCGGTCCTCATGCCTCCCCTGGTTAGGAAAACATACCTTGTATATGATTGTTCATTCAGAAGTTTAAACTTTAGTCGTGTGTGTGCTGAAATTTTATAACCACGAGCTTCACGTAAGAGGAGCAGCCGGCGCACATTCACAAGCATATCCTCTTTTAAATGAATTGATTTAATAAAACAAGTCCTCCTAGAATCCCGCAAATATTTTACTTTCATGGCAGTTTCAAACATTCAATAGCTGGATACTTTCACGAGCCTTCACGTGATCTGGTAAGCCCCCTGAAATATTGTCTCACGTTACGTTATTCCGCTTCTTAGTCCAAGCTCGATGACTGCACCTCGTGACTGACGCATTCACTAATAAATGCCGTTCGATTAACTTAAAGAAACCATCACAGGCGAACGGTAAACACGCAGCCACCGCGGAGAAAATTAAATGGTATCACGCACTATGATTCTTTCGAGAGCTTATTCAGTGACTACTCCTTAGCGTGAATCTGTTTCCTAGCCATGACTACTCCCTCGCAATTGAAGTAGATTTTCAAATCATATCACTCGACACACGGAGAAATCTTCTGTAAACACTATTTGAAGTTTTTTTTTTCGAAAATGTCCGTCAAGTGTCCTCTGATTGACAACATCATCGTCAATTTTCGTAAGAGCCTAACGCGCCGATGGTATTGATGGTGGTCACAGGACGCCCACGTGCCAGGAAGCAGACCTGCCCTTCGTCAGGCGATGGCCGAAGCCCGGGTGTACAGCTTTCGCATGCTGGAGCTTGATAACGACGACTTTATCCTGCTGGGCCGAAGACTGGTGCGCTACCATCCGGACCTCACCGCCGGCGGGAGAGAGAAGCAGGTGAGAGGAACACTTACTAAGACGAAAGTCATAACTTAGCTGGAAAAGTGGCCAGGTTTAGAGAAGCTGGCCTACCTTTTGCTCACGCACAAGCTAATGGCGAATTCCATTGGGAGAACAGGAGAACTCAAAAGCACGCTGAAAGTGCTCTCTTCCGAGTCGGCGTGTTTTAGTGGTCGAACAAGAGTAAGAGAACTGTCATCCACTGGTAGAGCGAGAGTACTCATGCTGCGACGAGTGCAGCCAGGAGCCGTCTGTCGTGCCCTCGCCTGAAAAGTAGAGTAGGCCAACACCCTCTCAGTCAACGAGTCACGTGGCCTTTAAACGTCACACTCTCCGAATTATTCTTCAGCCAGCGAGTGCGCCGGCGATGGTAGCAACCACGTATAGGTAGACCCCACCGTTTCGTACTGGCGGCGACAATGACAGTGGGACGTCTGCCGAATGCGTCGTTGCACGTTGTATCAGGGTAATGTAGAACGTATGACTGACCGATATCATGCGTATTTTGATGCTGCCCACCGAAAATTTTGGGGCTTCGAATGTTTCAATCACATGCTCTTCCCACTTGCCACCCTCTCACGTGTTCTCCAAGAGCGTCCCGTATTCCAGTGGCAGATCGAGTGACCTTGCTCTCAGTGCTTTGCATCCCACTCCTCTACTCCTGTTCTCTGAATGCAATTCGCCATAAGGCAGACTCGTAGGCAGACTAGTCTTGAGTTCACATGGCCGGAAACTGACTGGGGAATACTGCCGATGTTCACCTTCACCTATCGAAAAAATGACATACATACATACATACATACATACATACATACATACATACATACATACATACATACATACATACATACATACATACATACATACATACATACATACATACATACATACATACATACATACATACATACATACATACATACATACATACATACATACATACATACATACATACATACATACATACACACGCACGCACGCACGCACGCACGCACACATACATACATACATACATACATACATACATACATACATACATACATACATACATACATACATACATACATACATACATACATACATACATACATACATACATACATACATACATACATACATACATACATACATACATACATACATACATGCATACATACATGCATACATACATACATACATACATACATACATACATACATACATACATACATACATACATACATACATACATACATACATACATACATACATACATACATACATACATACATACATACAGACAGACAGACCTCATTCCGAAAATGGTTCAGTTGTTCAAACCGTCGTCACTATGTGCTCAGCGTCATTGGCGTGATGCAACCCTTAGACTAACAATATCGGAGGTTTGATAATAAGCGACGCTATGCAGAATAACCCACGCTATTCCGATATTCTTCTTGGGTCGAGTGATTGCAGACGCAGATGGCGCTTGTGCACGACGCCGTCCACGTGTTTGCGGCTGCGCTTCACAACCTGTCCATATCCGGGGGCAACCTGGAGCCGAATCCTGTGGAGTGCGACACTGCCACGTTTCTCAACGACGGCCAGCAACTTCTGGATGCCCTGAAGAGTGTCAGTGTCTTTCTTCTCTATATACCTTTGCTGTTGGCACTTTCAGTTGAGCTAAGTACAATTAACAGAAAAGAACAATCAAGGAAGCTCGTTCGATATTCTGCGCATTTATAATCAAGCCCACCGACTATAGGAACTGGGGAAGCATAGACTCAGAAGCAAGCTCTGAGACTGGGCTTATTGGTAATCGATTTTCAAAGAAGCAGTGTGGCAGCGGACGAAAAAAAAATGATAGAACAAGAATGACTGCTTGTTTTTGTTCTCTAAGTGCTTGTCCTTGTTTTTATTTTTATTTTTAACAGTCGTACACGGAAGCGCTGTTTTTTGATAAAGCGGACAGGGGTTCTGTGGCCAGCTCTACGCAGTTTCTAACCAACCTCCATGCGCAAGAAACGTTTCTGTGCGTCTTCCATTCACGTACTAACTCCGAAAAACCGCTACCTTCACTTCATGCATATTGTTTCGAACACGAAAAGCTTACAGACCACGTCACTGACTTAGTCTAACCGCAGGCGTTTATTCAAACTCTCAGGTTAGCTACGAAGGATTCACGGGAGAAATCAATTTTGATGAAGACGGGGAACGGGAGGTGGATGACCTGCGGCTGTTTGAGTGGTACCGAGGACGCAGCGAACAGGTGAGAAGCTTTCGATCCACGTGTTACACTTGAGATTGCCCTATTTCACAATAATTTCGACATTTATTTTTGTTGTGGATTACTGGCAACATGTTCGACGCAGGAAAAAAAAAACAGTGACCACCAATGGGTTACTTGGTTATAACTGTCAGTTCAAGCGCACGAATAAACAGAAAAGCGCTTGTTCTCTCTTCCTTTCTGTTTATTCGTGCGCTTGAACTGACAGTTATACCATGCATACCCAACTAGCCCAACTTTTGATTCTGTTGCAATGGGTTACTTCATTGGAGTAGAGCCTAGTTTTTTTATATGTGAAAAAAAAACGAAACAAGAAAAAACGAAAAAGACTGCGTATTCGAGCAAGCAGATATTTCGTCTTTGCACTTCAGGTTCACATTTCACGCATAATCAGTTATGAAAATATGCTTGCTGACCTATTACGCAGTGTACTTTTGCATTATTGTTACATTATTTGCGAGTTGCTTTAATCTCATTCGTAACTTGTAGCATATGGTATTTCAAACCAAGTTTTTTTGTGTGTACACACTTAGTGTCAGCTGTATCATTCGCCGCACCTCACCTTAATTTGCGTAATATCAGCATTTTATATGTGAACACAATTTGCAAACCTAACGCCATTGGCCGCAATGTAACAAAGCAATGTACCTCGCTCTCATAATTTTGACATCCTAGAGCTCATTGATTCTTGTCCTTGAATAACTTCTTTTCACTGATAATTGTGATTTCTTATTTATTTTCTGTTTTCGTGCTTTAATATGAAGCAATACCACGCCACTATTTGGCCTTAAGTATTTTCTGCTAAATATCTGAAATTGGTTAAATAATTGCATAAATGTATGATTATGCAACTAACCGATTATTAGGTGCAAAGCAGCTCTTTGACTAGCCTGTGTAACGCTGTCCCTCCGTACACCACCCCGGCGCATGCTCGCGTCTTGTGCTGGCCCAGGAAGACGCCGGCAAAACTGTCGCTCCCCTCCCCATCTCTCCCTTCACAAGGTTGACGAAGGCATCGTTTGCCAGTAAAAAAAAAAATGTTTGCTCGTGACCTTGTATATGTATACACTGGATCGCGCGTTCAGATTTCAGTCACGGGCTGCTTTACTTGGCTTTCGTTTGATGAGCGCCAGCGTAAACGTCGCCGCCAGTGTAAGCGTTAGCGCCCGCTGCTTCACATGTGCACATGGTTCCCTGTAGCGGGAGACGGTCCAATTTCTTCAAATCGGTCAAGGCTACATCATTGTTCCCGCAATAGGCTTCCTTTCGCAGAATGCAAAGTTAAATAATATTACGATAAAATAACCACATTCATATTCACTATACTTTCATGAGAAAACCACGACAAAAATTTAACAGAATGAGCTTTCAAAGCAGCTGGAATGCCACGTGCCGTTGTCTTACCGCATTTTCCCTTTACATTGCGTTGAAGCAATAAAGCGGTCAGTTGTTATTCAGTGATTTTCATGAGTGTTGCTCCTTTGCTTAGGGTTTGTCTTCGCCACGCAGTTTGTTAATTTTTTTTAACGCGAAAACGTTAAAGAGCTTGTTTCGCAGAAGTTCCGGCGTCTGATAATGATGATGATGATGATGATGATGATGATAATGCTTAGATCATTGGTACCTACCCCCTCTCGGCGATCGGCCACGAGTCGGGCGGATTATGCATACTGGATTTATGATTAATATTTAGTAAGAGCTAAAAGAATTTGAGGTGATTTTTATGTAAAGTTAATTATGAATATTTGTACTTTTAAGTTACACTATTTTGTGTAATCTCCCAGAGACTGAAGATATTTTGACTAGGAAGACTCAATAAATAATTGTTAGTAGTTATCATCAGCTTCATTAGTTAGAAATGAAAAATCATCGTCTTGTTCGTGCCGAAAAGTCAAGAAAGATGCAATTGAAATAAATAAATAAAAATTTCGGATCTGAGTGATGATCGAACCTGGGCCGTCTGCGTGCCAAGTGATTGATATACCACAGAACCACAATATTCGCTGATACTGCTTTAAAAAAAAACACTATGTGATTGTCATGTGTTGCAAGGAGTCTTCTTAACACTTCATAGATTCGCTGGCAAAAGCGTAGAACTGAGCCAGGTTTGAAAAGATGTGAATTGAGCAACGAGAAAGTATTTTAAAGGCCAACTCTTTGTAAAGCTCTCAGTATTTTTAATCATTATGAGCAGCAGAACCATCGAGAAAAAGCACACCAGTGGCGTCAGTTCGCGTGTTGCCCTACGGATGCTTAGTAGGCCCTTCACTGATTCGCAAAACGAATAATCATGAAGTATTGCGCACTTAACTGCTGTTCTTGCAACAACAATTTAGTTTGGAAATGACCAAAGTTGCGCGCACAGTCGTTCGTTTCCTTACAGCACGGTTGAAGCACACACCAAAGAAGGCAAGCAGTACTCAAGGCAATGCGCGCGTGACCCGAGTGCGCTAAGGCGATCTACTATTGAAGGTGAAGCTTAAGTGTCGTCCCGTATTTTTTTTTTCGTTTACAAAAGCAGTCTTGAGATTCAACAGATGCAACTTTGGGCTAAAGCACTATCACTATCCAGGTGGCGACGTGGAGCGCCGAAAAAGGCCTCGATTTCGTGCATGACCCATACGACGATGATGGTGTGCCTGGAGGCGAAGGCATCGACGACTCCATCGACGAGAACTCGCTGGAGAACCGGACCGTCATCGTCACCACCATTCTGGTAAGGCGACAACGCTCGGTCCCATGCACGCAAGGGCTTGAGCGCAAGCGCACACCTACTACACGGGTGGTAGGCGGAGAGCCCTCTTTTAATCATTTAAAGAGGGCACCAAGTCGGTTCCATCTTTAGTCAGTATAACATATGTCCAGGGGCATGTAAGTTTTTGATGGCTGTTTCGCTGCTCTGAATTGAGACAAAAGTACAAAAAGATGAAACAGATGTGCGCAAACTTGCATCTGTTTATTTGCTAACCATGCACGTCATATATATACACCCACGCGCATGAAAGAGTGAGAGGCCGAAAAAATTATGACAAAAAACACACAGAAGAGCGTAAGGGTGAAATGCGCAAACCTGCAATTCATGAAGACGCAGATTCGCATGCAGAAATACAATCAGCAGTGGTTGTCTACAGGTATTAACTTGAAAGACGTGGCGCAAGCTTAGAAGCCAGTAGAACGAAGAAGAGACGGAACTATCCTAGCGCTTGCTTGCTTGCTCGCTTGCGCCTATATAAGTTTGACTCATACTCACTACGGCGTATTGGCGCTCTCTCTGCCTCTTCTTCGTTCTTCTCGCTTGTAGGCTTGCGCCAGGTCTTTCAAGTAACGATACACCAACTGGCCCAACACAGTGCGTAATTGCTATAGTATTTATTTAGGGCGTAGTTTTGAATACCGGCTTTGATAAACATACGCTAGAGACTGTCGAGGCCAGTGTGGTTACTACAGAAACTGCTGACTGTGTCAGCGCTCTCCTCGTTTGCATTGGGCACGAAGAAAATCGTGTGTCTGAACGGTTTAGACTTGCCCTTTTGCTACACCTTGAACGAAAAACCGGAAATCCGGATTTGTTCTTTGATCCTTGCTTTTTCAGTGCTATGGTTTGTTCAAAATAAAATGGTTGTCTCAAGCACTTTGTGTCACACTCCTTATGAAACCATTCTGAACATCTATTGCGTTTCTTTTAAGCGTAACTTTCTGTTATGCGTCACTCAACTGTTCGCAGTCACCGCCTTTCGTGATGCTCAAGGAAGGCGCCGAGAATCTGGAGGGCAACGACCGCTTCGAGGGCTTCTGCGTGACGATGATCGAAAAGGTGGCGCGCCTACTGGGCTTCCACTACAGGCTCAACATCGTGGCGGACGGCCGCTTCGGAGTCGAGCAGGAGCCCGGCCGTTGGAACGGCATGATCGGAGAGCTACAATCCGGGGTGATTTTTCCTAACCTCCGTCGTCTTTCACCGTCGTTCATCGGAACGTTTTAGCTGTGCCGAAAATACCGTACACCTTTTGCGCTTTGGTGTAACTGTTCCGTCTTAATGTACCGCGATCCGAAAACGGTTCAGCTTCGCGCGCTACTCGACGCGTGCGGTAAGGTGGTGACATGATTGTTGCCGCTTTCTGCACATACCGTACTGTTGACCTGTGCCGCTTAAAGCACAGCGCTACATCTTTTACTTTTTGAAGTCCATACTCTAACCTTCTTATACCGTTAGTTATCATAGCAGAAAAGACGCCATTCTGATAAACAGAAATCTAAGCGATAAGACAAACAACAATTTTAAAATGATCACTCCGGGAAGGTTAGCCTGGTTAATCGCCAGTCTTTATTCTCTAGGTGTCGAATGTTAACTGTAGCAGATGCAGTGATACTATAAACGTGAATATAACACGCGTATTCACTCGCACAAGAAGGCTAGCGTGTTTTCTCTTCATTTGAAGCGTGATTTTCGACTGCTGTCCCATGCTTTCGTTCACGCAAGGAACACATGACTCGTGCGTGCACGTTATCAATTTGTGCTCTAAGCGGGACATCACGGCACCACTAACGATAACAGCAAACCACGTAAATATCCAACTTACGCTGTTAAAGTGGTGGGACAGAGAAGCTTTGACCAACGCCTATGAAGTGGCTACCGACGCTGACATAGCTTTAACGCGATCACTTGACAGCATTCACATAACCTGTAGCTAATTGTTAGCCAAAGGCAACTGATTCTGGCTCTACTTCATACACACACCAAGATTGAGCCAAGACAAATAAAATGCACCTAAGTCCACTTTCGCCAAACGCTTATGGCGAACACCATATGCACGAAGAGATCTTTGTGGCTCTGTTCAGGAGTGTTCCTTACACGTGGCCCTAGCATGCTATTGTGACAGCAGCAATATTGACTTGCTAAGCAGGTTCTTACAATTGTTTGCTTTCTACGAAATCGTACCTATTTAACTCGACACTTCGTATTCTACAGAGGACAACCATCGACAAGTACAGTTGATTAAACTTGAGAGCCTTTACCTGCGGTGACGCTCCTGGCAAAGGCTATGCGCAAAGGAGATCATTGTTGATCATTTTTTTGCGCCAGGAGGCGCAGGCGGTGCGTACCTGCTAGCTCTTCCTCTGTTTGACAATGAAAACGACCGAACAGGTGGATGGTACAGCTACATTGCTTCAGTGTATATAGGAAAACGATCAATCACGTACGATTTTCTCGAGTTTGAATCGCTGCCGCTCCCTGTTGGCAGAGAGCAGACATGGCGCTGGCCCCGCTCACCATGACCTCCCGGCGAAGCAATGCTGTGGACTTCACGGCGCCCTTCATGACGCTGGGCATCGGGCTGCTGAACGCGCGCGCGGACGAGACCGTGGCGCACACTTTCCTCAGTCCCTTCAGCGCGGCGCTGTGGTGCGCCGTGGTGGCCACAGTGCTCGCCTCGATGCTGCTCCTCAGCCTGGTGGGCCGCATGTCTCCGCTCGAGTGGCGTCGCATCACTGACTCCCGCCTCGACACGGACTACACGCTGGGCAACTGCTTCTGGATGCTCTTCAGTGGCCTCACCTTGCAACGCGTCACGCTCACGCCGAAGTACGTATTCGCGCTGTTGGTCAGACCGATTCTTTCTTTCTTAATTCGATAGCTGTGCCCGATAGCTGTGCACTTTTCAACGTACTACTTTAGGGTGGGAAGCCCAGCCCTTGTTTTTTTTAAAACACTCCACTTTTCATCCGGCACTATCTCTACACACAGGTGTGTCATACGTATGAGTATTCGTGAAACAGTCTATAGATTTACCGTTTGCAAAAAGTAGGAGGCTGGTCCAGTTGGAGCAAGTTGATTGTGTACAAGTAATCACAATATCTGATTGGCAACGGAGGCACCCAATGCGAAAGTTCTGACAGAGTATACGTTGCATGATGTGGACTTTGCTGACGATTAACACCTATATTTATCACAGTGATACATTGCATCTTTCACACCCCCTCTGAACTTTGTTTTCACGCGTATAAGCTGAGATGGGGCTCAATCGGAACGGATCTGATTCAACACGACCGCCCATTGCCGCAAGCGCCCGCCACTACAGATTTCTAAGTTTGCTAAGAGGCGAATCGCAAGGTCCTGAAAACGGCTGGAAAGGGTAGACGGAAGCTCACGATGAAGAAATCCGTAAACTAGACAAGGGTTGTAAGCTCGGGCTGACTTTCCGACAAGACACTTGTTTTCATCAAGGCTAGAACTTATTTTCTTAGCGTTACTGTGTATATGCTTCGTATCCTCTCCTCCAGTCGGAACAGAGGAAGGAAAGAGAGCAATAGTTGATGCGGGAATGCGGGACGGGGCTGTTTTGCTGAATCAGGGTTGTCAGAAGAGCTGCTCTGGCAACCATGATCTGGATAAACTTCTACCAACCCCTCCACTTCCTTCTTTCATTTCTTTTTTTATGCCGGCATATCTCTTTCCTTTTTGCTCACACAGTTCGTGCGCCCGCTACCCCCTCTCTCGCACACCCGTATCTACAGTTGCTCTCTCCCAATTCTTTGTTAAGATGGAGGAGAGGGTAGGAACCATATACATGCTAGCGCTAAGGAAATAATTTTTAGCCTCGAAGAAGACAAGCCCACTCGATGAAACGTGGGCTCGAGCACACAACCCCTATTTACAAACTTTCAAATGCCAAGCATTTTCTAGTGAGCTTCGGCGACTTCAAGCGTATCTATCTATCTAGCCGCTTACGTTTGGGTGCTCTCGTGGTCACCCCCTTAACTTGGCGTGAACCAAAATTAGCATGGGAGAGTAACATGATTTGACGAATATGACGCGCTGGTCTAGACATGAATAATGTTACAATCTCATCGCGTACATCCTCAAACACTTCCCGCCAGGAAGGAAGGAAAATAGAGGGAAAAGAAAGGCACGGATGTTAACCAGCCTATAGGCAGCCGGTTTGCTACCCTGCGCATGGGAGAGGGATGGGGGAGATGAAAGAGAGCAGACAGTGGCACATACCCAGGGGCAGGTACGTCCCGCTGGTATGCGGTTATGTGCCGCAGGTGATTGACACTTAGTATCTACCCAGGAACGACGAGAACACGCATGGACAATTTAACGCGCGAGCGTTAATAAACACCCGACTTTAATAGTGTCGACCCGACAACTCAAAGAATAAAGTCATGGTCCCAGCTGGAATCGAACCCAAGCATTCTGCGTGGCAATGAACCATTTTACCCCAAAGCTACGCCAGGTCTCGGAACTACTTTTTAAGTAGACACTAATCTTCGTGAAACGTCGAGAGTGGATGCAGTGCTGCCTACCCAATTTTATAAACATTACATATGCAATTCATTGATACATCCGCCACGTCGGGTTAACGTCAATTGTGGTTATGTGCCATGCGCTGAAGTTGATTAAATTAACAGTGCCCAGGGCCAGCATACTAGCGAGCACGAGCGCTTCATATCAACTTCTGGTGTTTCTAATGCGCATGTTCCAGTTAGCATCGTTGCGCAGGTACAAACGACAGGTTTTATAAACATCTGTAACTCTTCAACATATGTGTGAGAATGCAACATTTCTACATATATTTAGCGTCATTTCATGACGTGTCGCTCAATAAAAAGATTTAAATACGGTCACCTTCCCTCTGCATGTTTTGCATAACGTCGATTCCCAGGTACGTGGGATCTGCCGAATTTTTTTTGCAATCCTGATTGGGGAAAGTTACAGCGCGCCATGCAAATTAAGCATATATGTTATCTTTTAACAGCTTCATGTCTATGTCGGGTACAATTACATATAAACAGTTGCAGCACATCAGTAATGACTCGGCCACTAGACTGAATTGATGACCATTGATGCACTATACCTTGTTAGCAATGCAAATAAAGCAACGTCTTCTTCGTTTTTTTTTCCCGGCAAGGTAGACAACGTCGCTGACTTCAATTGGAGATATTTACGGAAACTTCAAAATAGCCTTTTTTTGAGCAAGCTTTCGAACATCGGCGTTCTCATTTAATTTTACGCGTTTCAGTCCAATTTGGCAATAGGCTGGTGGGCGCGAAAACCACAATAATTATAATAAATGAAAGCTGAAATCAAAGCTTCTTCTGATGTCTTGGGGCCAATGGTGGCTTGTAAACCAACGCGTGCAGGGCGCCATCCACCGTTGTGGCGATGGTGTCTTGGTGGCTCTTCTCCCTGGTCGTGATGGTGGCGTACGCGTCGGTGCTGGGGGAGTTCATCATCCGCTACCGTGACCGGCCCACGCTCGACAGCCTCGACGACCTGCTGCGCCAGAAGGAGATCAAGTACGGAACGCTGCGTCAGGGCTCAACGCACGACTTCTTCAAGGTGCGTCATTTGAGGTCTTCTGTACAAAGGAATACATATACCTGAAGGCGTTTGTATATTACGGCATTGAGACCTTCCTCTAGTGATACAATGGCGCAGAGGACAAATTGAAGCGAATGCGACCAAGAAATCATAGTTTTTGAATAAAAGTAGGAATGGGGTATGTGACATAGCCGCCGGCCTATTAGACTGAGGCAGCGACTGCTGAGGGAGCTCGCTCGGTGGATTTCGTGCCGACCGGTTGTGTCCTCGTGATCTCCGACGACAGCGCAGCTCTGGCCGCCTGGACTCGCCCTACGCCATCTCGTGACGCCGATCTCCGACGACAGCGCAGCTCTGGCTGACTGGACTCGCCCTCCGCCATCTCCTGTCGCTGACAAGAACTCTCGTCGAGTGGTGCCCCGTCCTCGGATTCCTGCAACCATGTCCATCTTTTCTATCTTCTCTTCCGTCGCTTGCTCTCCCTGTGCCTCGCTCTCTCCTTCATCTCTCTACATATACCTTTTAATCCTATCTTCTTAACCCCTCCTTACCCCCATCCCTTGTGAGCTAATGTTGAGCTGTCACACTGTGATGCATACAGTGACGGGGCTCACTTTTCACTTCTTTTCCTTTAAGAACCACATAAGAAGAAAGAAAGAAGCCAAGTGAAAATGAGATATTCCATAAATGTGAATGGTGCTATCAAAGTAGGAAAATACAACGCATAAGGAAAAGGTAAGCTGAGGAGAGAAAGGCTTAGGGCAATAGACGTTGTTTGGGCGAGCAGTTCGTAATTACAGGTTTGTATCAAATGCCTCTTTTTTCTGCAACCGCGCGAAATTCATAATGACGTATGATCATGCATCACTTTACAGCCAGACTTCGACAGGTGCAAATGCGCGGAGAATGATGCTTTTCCTGTCCGACCACATCACTTCCGTCAAGAACAATGTCAACCAGAACCACTGCACCAATTAGCTTCGATATCAGGTGACACTGTGGTGACAAGAAATGAGCTGTTGTCGTTGTTGTCCTGCACGACTTGAGGAGAATGATGCCCGCCGGTCGCCATTGCGCGAGCTTTTTCGCCTATTTCCACAGTATGTCCTAACATGACACTCTCCTTCTCCGCGGTCTGTCTGTCCTGCGAGAGCAGGAGTGACGTTGACCCCTCTCCCTCAACACCGGATCGTACCGGATGTCGACGGTGGCACTGTGCTCGAGTCTCCCGTAGTCTCCCGAGTTGTTTTCGCGTGTGGTCGATGGGAGTAGAAGAGGTCCTCTGTGGACATCGAAGAGTGAGCATGCCTTTTCTTTCGGTCCATTGGCTCCCTTTGTTCTTGGAGCTCGCTCAGACTCACCAACCGTGTCTTGCGCCCGCGGCGATTGCTTACCTTTCGTTGCCCCTTCCCAATGCTAGGCCGAAGAGCAGTGCGGTGTGTTTGCTCGTGGTCTTACTACGCCAAGCCGCGCCTCTCGAAGCCAACGCGAGCGGAGTTTGCACTCGCTCAAGCGATCAAGCCCTGTTGTCAGTGATCGCGAGAGCACGCAGCATAGCTGTGAGTTAGCAATTTGGACGATTCCGCACGTTTGGTTTGAAAAAAGAAAAGTTTCACCCTTGCGTCCGTCTGCCACCGCGATAGTTCAAAATAGTCCTTATAAAGCTAGAAAATACTCAATAATCTGAATTACTGCGAATCTGGCAATGCTCACTGTCAGTGACAAACTTGTTCGTGTTAATACTAAAACTGGATAAAGAGTTAGTAAAATTGCTCGTTTTATTGGTCTTGGCACTAGGAAGAGGTCGGTTTCATTGGCTTCCTCTAATATTCTTATCAGGGCTTTATGCCTTTCAATATTATTGCGGACCTTAGGAGAAAGTACGGGAATGGTGCACTAAAGCTGTTTTAACCTAAATATCAAATTTATTTGGGCAAGTAAACGCACGTAATCCTGTTTTTGGGGTTTTCTCTTCTCTTTCGCTATCAACGCCCGAAAAGCAATGGAATTTATGTGCTCTTTCCTGTGAGGTTATTGGCTTCTACTTCGCGCCGATTTCGAAATTATTCTTGACGGTAATATTTCAAAGAGAAACGTAGAGAAATATTTATTGAAAAGCTGGAGGTGTTTTTTTGGCTTTTCGCCTGACATGCTGCTTCTGGTGGTGGGTGATCATTACCATATATACGCCAAAAAACACACGACCCATACAGTCACACACGTAGACTACATTATTTACTAAGCTTCATTGAGGCTTGTGACCCGCAAGAAAGTCAGCGGTGCTTTCGAGGTGTCCAAAGCAGTGGAGCTGCTTTCGCATGGATCCAGATTGTGTCTATGGTCGCGATTTTGCTCCCTCTGCTGCCTGGCCAACGGACAAGCAATACGGTACTTAGAATGGCCGAGACCTAAGCAAGTTGGTGGGTGTTAATGTTAAAAAAACTGGGCGTGCAAACACCGAGAGAAGTCGAGACACTACCAACGCCAACTAACTGAAAAAGACGGACAACGCGGAACGTTTTTTTTTTTTGCTTGTTTTTCCGCCACAGTAGGCCTTTTTCGATTCTTTAGTGGCGTTTGAGGTGTCTTCAATAATTTTCTCCGTGTTTTCCTGCTCAGTCTTTTGGCCGGTCAGCGAACTAATTTACTGGTAGTTAGCCTGATGTGATTCGGTGCACTGATGTGCCTCTGCTTGCCTGCGCAGCGCTCGACGTTCCCGCAATACATGAAGCTTTGGCAGGGCATCCAGAGCCAGGGTGACGAGGCGTTCGTCGACAGCTACGCCGAGGGCCTGGAACGCGTCATGGGTGGCTCGTACGCCCTGTTCATGGACTCGCCCGCCCTCGAGTATTTGGAGAGCCGCTACTGCGAAGTGGAGCAAGTAGGCGAGGTCATCGGCTCCTCGGGATACGCCATCGCATTGCCCAAGGGTGCGTGTGCACGCCTTCGAATGTGCTAGAGAAGCGATCATTGCAGCGTATGTGCAAAGAAACCCTTTTGTCAACTTTCGAATTCCAGTGTCTATGCCATCCAACTTCCACTATAAATAGAAGTAGTAGTGAGAAAGTGTTAAAAGGAAGATGGAATTAAAGTTTACGATTTAGCGTACTAGTGTCGCAATATTTATGTAGACGCACACTGTAGTAAGGCATCTTGAAAGGATTTACGCAGCTTTAGAGTCGCTAACGGCGACCTCAATCTAGATCTACGGACGTTTCTGCGTTTGTTGTTTTTTTGCCACCTATTTGCGTCAGACATAGACGTGAATTAAACGTTCGCGTCGGGCTCAACTGCGCAACAGCCTAGCCACTAACTACTGCGATGGGAGAAGAGAAATGAAAAGTTCATCTCGTCAGGAGTTATCTGAAGGAGATTCTGACGGAAGGTGAAGTACGCAACCCACATAAAGCATAAAAAAGAAAGGCGAATGGTTAGAGCGTCGTGCATGTGAGGTTCGTACCTCACAAATTTGAAGCAGCAAGAACACTGTGGCACAGGAATTATTGGAGGCGTGTTTTATCAATGTTAAACCTGATTGTCTGCATTAGTGACAACTCTGTCACCCTGCATAAAGCAGAAGTGCAATTTTTCTATTAGTTGCGATTGGGATGCAATAAGCGTGAGATTTTTCACAGATGTCCTATGCAAGTGTAATTGCGCACATGTCGGCATACTTATGAAAAGAGGCGGTTTTTACAAATGCAGTCAGTTGCAAGTCGCCGCTCTATCTTGTACCTTTGTTTTTCGTCTACGTAGGTTGGGTCCTTAATCTTTGATTAGAATAGACCAACTAGCCCAACAACACGTTCTAGTATGATTTGAAGAAGTAATGTGTCGGCAGCCAACGTTTCACCAAAAAACTTGCGTTCGTAAATACAGCGAAGACAAACACACTTGCTGAAACGTAAGCTATATGAACATGGATGTCTTTATAGGCCTCTATACCCTACGTTTCAGCATATGTAAAACAATTTGCCCATCAGTCATGAGGGTCTTTAAAGCTATAAGGCCCTGACACATTGCCTTCAGCTTATTCGCCAAGCACTGCATTTTCGACCACGAGTATCGGGACGACAATGCACTATAACCCTACTGATTTCCTTTTTTTTCTCGTTTAAAAATTTGTTGTGCCATGACATAAGACATCCATATTTATTTCTCATGCAGAGCCTTCGTTGCTTACGTGGCAACTATGTGTACAAAATAATAATGCAAATTATTCAAAGCTATATGAACATGGATGTCTTTATAGGCCTCTATAGCCTACGTTTCAGCATATGTAAAACAATTTGCCCATCAGTCATGAGGGTCTTTAAAGCTATAAGGCCCTGACACATTGCCTTCAGCTTATTCGCCAAGCACTGCATTTTCGACCACGAGTATCGGGACGACAATGCACTATAACCCTACTGATTTCCTTTTTTTTCTCGTTTAAAAATTTGGTGTGCCATGACATAAGACATCCATATTTATTTCTCATGCAGAGCCTTCGTTGCTTACGTGGCAACTATGTGTACAAAATAATAATGCAAATTATTCATACAATGACCTCCCTTGCCCGTAGCGCCTTCGTTCTGTAACGGGTAGGAGTTTGAGCGAAGATATGGGCCATGTTTGAGGCTGTGCAATCGAATATACAGCATCTCACAAAATATGTAATTTTAGATACGGTATTTACTTCGCACACCACAAACACCTGTCCACACCAAGTGGTATTGGTTGGTTTTATTTGAATTATGATATATGTTGACTATCGCTCGCTAATGTTTTCTAGAAATGGCTAAATGACTACTCGGCGAGGGGAGTAGCGCACGCTAGACTGGGACGGAGAGAGCAAGACAACAGATGCGCCAATTCTTGCTTCCTCTGTCCATGCCCATAGTGAGAAACTTTTCCGGTGGTGGAGAGTGAGGGAGGGGGGGGGGGAGTCATAAAAATCTCATATTTGCATTACATACTCTCAGTAAACACCCCCTCCATCCGAATTTCAAGGAAGAGGGCCGAGGGCAACATTCCTCCTTCTTTGCTACTGGCCTGTGAAAGTGTGCGCTATAACACTCGCGTTTCGCACTAACAAGCCCATAACTACTCTTCTCGAATTATTTATTCAGTCCGGTGATTTCGTCAAGCGGAAGGCTTGTATTTCGGTTTGTATAAAGCAGAAAGATTCCAAATTTGACCAATGTTCGCAATTCACATTGCGCATATATTTGCATGCGCTTTGATTGAAAACATTCGTTCCATTTGACCCCACTAGCAAATAATGAGAGTGAGTCGGCGTGTCGCACAGGCGATGAGACGCTCGATGGATTTGGTGGCGGACCATTGTCCCGTCCACGTTGTCCTCTCTTCGACGATCGCTCGCCGACTGGGCTCCCATCCGCGGGCTTCTCTAGCCATCTCCCAATCTTTTACTTTTACCTAAATATCATTACTTCTCTCTCTATCTTTTTTCAATTCCTCCTTATCCCTTCCCTTGTGAACCACTGCTCTATTGATTGATATGTGGGGTTTAACGTCCCAAAACCACCATATGATTATGAGAGACGCCGTAGTGGAGGGCTCCCGAAATTTTGACCACCTGGGGTTCTTTAACGTGCACCCAAATCTGAGTACACGGGCTCACAACATTTCCGCCTCATTCGGAAATGCAGCCGCCGCATTCGGGATGCGAACCCGCGACCTGCGGGTCAGCAGCCGAGTACCTTAGCCACTAGACCACCGCGGCGGGGCGTGAACCACTGCTAAGGTGTCCCACTTTGCTGCAGACAGTTGTGAGGTTCACTTTTATTTTTATTCCTCATTTAAAATCACTTCCCCGCCTGTCACGCAGGCAGCGCCTTCCGGTCCGAGCTGTCGGCGGCCATCATCCGGCTGAAGAGCGAGGGCACCCTGCAGCTGCTGCGCCAGCACTGGTGGCACGAGCACGGCGCCGTCAATTGTCCGCGCGAGCAGCCCGTGTACCGGCCCACCCCGTTCACGGTGCGCTTCGGTCGCCTCAGCCTGGTCTTCGTGTTCCTCCTCCTCGGTCTCGTCATCACCATGCTCGTCATGCTATTCATCTTCGTGCGAGGACACGCGAGGAAGAACCTCAGCGCCGAGTCCATGGTCAGTGACGGACACCCTCTGCTCGTGTAGCGTAAACGCAAAGGCTAAATGAAAATCATAACAATATATATATATATATATATATATATATATATATATATATATATATATATATATATATATATATATATATATATATATATATATATATATATATATATATATATACGAGGTAAGCCTTATTATATGAAAGCATGTCATATATTACTTTAAAGTGGTAATACCTTAAGATAGAGTTACGTAGGAAACCACAAGGTTACCATGTACGCACTGTTGGTATTGCCGTAATATGTCTGCATCAAAACTGCCAACCGCAATAAAAGCATATTTATAAATATAAAGCCACATATGCGCTTTAAGCGCGAATGAATCTAGCGCAAGTGTACTCGTGCACTAGTAGAGAGCAGGTGCACGTTATAGCAACAGACACATTTTCGGTAGAACTGGACACTTGAATTCCGCGCGTGCGGCAGGGGTTAGACGCTGTTTTACATTAGTATTCCAAGCTCAGGCACCTCAGTGTGCAAACAGCACTCCAGTTCAGTCATTAGAGTATATATAGGCCATATTTCCTTTCAGGTTCAAAGCTAAATGGTATAATTTTTCTGTGAACTGTGCATACGACGCTCGGAATACTTCAGATCTGTTGATATTCACTACGAAGGACGCTTCCAATGGAAATACAGGCAGCCTATTTCCCTCTGTGCGATTCGTTTACGTGCCCCAAAACAACAATTCACAAGCTTTTCAGCTATGAGACGTTACTTCCCGATCTAAAAGTGGTTTCGAAGTCGGAAATTGGTGATGTACACAAAAGTCATCAGGTTACCTCGGTGCACTTGATGAGCGAACGCTGCGGTGTATAGTTCCCGTGTTCCTTACAAAGGATAATCTGGTTTTTAACAATTTTGTCATCGAGGCACTAGTGAAATCAAGCCCACTTGTCACTGGTGCTGAATCAGTGATGTTGGAAATGGTCATTGATACTAGATCAACGCATCCTCCTTCTTTGCTTTGTTTAAGTTCAATTAACTCAATTAATATTCTTCTGATCATCCTTTAGCATCACTGCACGTTAGTACGGGGTCATGTTTATGGTGTAAAGTTGCCTAAAATAACGGTCGTTCAATTGGAAATTCGACGCTGAACTAATTTTCTTCCCACATCGCAGAGTGCCGTGTGGACCACCCTGGTGGACGAGCTGCGTGCAGCAATGCTGTGCCGCAAGGAGAAGAAGCCCTCCAAGGAGGAAGGAGACGAGGCCAAGGACCAGGCGGCGGCCACACCCGCCACGGAGCTGCCCACCATCACCACTTCGAACGACACCGCTCCGTGATTCCTCCGAGCAGCTGGACACTGGGCTCGCGCGTTCCAGGCGCACGACGCGGCGCAGCGAATCGATGGTCGGTCCCAAGACTTTCGCCGGCCTCCTTCGCACCCACGCCGCAGAAGCCAAATTCGTTGTCGCGTAACAGCCCTTTTCTCAAATCGTGAAATCGAGGTCACTGCTTGACAGAGTTTATATTTCTGCAACTGCTGGTGCCTGCAGGCGTCACAATCTTGTCTTCGATTCAGCCCTGTACGCTGACGAGAAACAACAGTTGTGTTAAGTTTCTTTGGTTATGAGACGAACGCGACTTTAAGTATCAGTAGAGTGAAATGAAAATTTCAGACGAATATGCGTGCGCATCGCCATCGTAAATAGTTACGTGACAGTGTGGAGAAGAAAACAAAACACTGCGTAGGCTGTGCGATGTATAGACACCGAGACATGGAGAAGTTATGCAGCCCGCTTCATTGCATCGCTACATTGGCTTGCGCTTATGATACTCTCTTAGAAAATGTGGGCCATATAAACACTTACTAAATACTCTAGGTGCGTGAAAATGAGTTCAATTGGCTTTCTTGAAAGTAAACTTGTTATGGCTATGAAGAATGGTTCAATGGAGCGTTAGGATTTATTTAACGTCTGCGGAAAGAGAAGAGAGGCGATGTGGAGCAGTGCTTATGTGATTCTTTTGTTATGGACAAGTTCATAGGTGTATGTGGTGATAGGATAGGCACTCTATACGGTGAGCAGGTAGCAGACTTCAGAAACATAGGTTCTGAGGCCATATAAACATGGGTATAAAGTGGAAACGACTTAGACTACGGGAAAATAGCAAACACTGAATAAAGAGGGGACGAGGACATTCGTGAGGATAATGAGGTTTTCAACTTTCCTAAAGGAATGCGGCGTCCACACTGCTGAATAAAGAGTGCTCATTATGTCACAGGCGATGTATGAATATACGTTATTGCTGCAAAGCAGGAAGAAAAAAGGACAGATGCCAACATCGGGACATAAACTATAAAATGATGAACTTTCGAGAGACAGTAACAGACAAATGTGTAGCAAGTGGCTTGAAATTTAAATATTGTTTTGCAGTTTCTCGTGGCTCTACAGGCCATTATTGAAACCTGAGATGTATCTATATGGTGTAACAACACTTACGGTGCAATTTACTTGGGCAGATATGTTCTAGCCTTGCCAAAAACATTGCTGGAGCTCTTTTTTTAAAGGGTGGAGTTCCACCACCCATTATGTATGTTCATGTGCGTTTGTATGTGGGCGTTTATATAATCGCGCAAACAAAATTTAAGAAATTGGGGAGGTGAGGTAACCCCTCCTCTTGGCAAAGTCAATCAATCAACTTGCTATCGTTCGAAACAAAACAAAATATTATTGATTGTAATGATGTCACGATGTGAGTAGGGGCAGAAACAGAATGTACAATTTGTGCGGAAGTATTTTGGCGGTGTCATTCGAAGTGCCCTGAAGCTAATTCATATCGAAAACATGGTACCTTCAACTAATAAACGCGTTGAAATTAACTTCGTTAACTCGTGCAGCGTTGTGATACATACTCTGCTGAAGCAGATCTCATGACACCCACTGCGGTAGCCTAGTGGCCAAGGCACTTGGCTGCTGACCCGCATATCGCGGGATCGAATCCCGGCTGCGACGGCCACATTTTCGATGAAGGAGAAATGTTGTAGGACCGTGCGCTCATATTTGGTTCGTCGCTAAAGAACTCCAGGTGGTCGAAAATTCCGGAGCCTCTCATAAATCATATGGTGGTCTTGGGACATTACAACTAACAATTATAATGTATTACAGAACTCGTGACATTATGTCTTCGGTAATCTGTCAATGTAAAATGGTCAACGTAAAACGAGCTTAGCGACTGTACCATTGCACGAAAAGTGGGACACAACCCTCGTTCGAGAGAACGTTTTTGTTAGCCGCCGATTCGCAACAAAACCTGGTTATGTTTTTCAGTGCCGGAAGCTTTTGAGGACAGATAGTTACAAGATGGATCTCGTTTTTCTTTGTTTCGTTCTTAGTGTGCGATGTTGCAAAGAAAAAAAAAACGAAGTTTGTGGTCAAGTCTGTTCTTCAAGCATATACAAAATATTCAGTGTGTGTGCTTCAAATAGTATTTGCATATTTTATAACACTGCCAACGGCTGCTTTTCTTGTGGTATAAAAAAGGGGAAAAATGTTAGTAGGATTTTAAACACCAAGTTATGCAGTTCTCGTAACCTGTAATATAACTATTATTCGGTTCTTTGAATAGCTTGATAATTATTCGTAAATCCTGCTGAGTTTATTGCAGCTTTGTTAATGCATAATAGCGTAAATGCTTAGACATAGATCCTAATTTATGCTTTCAATTTAAAGGGGTAGGTTGACTACCAAACAACATAAGAAAGTTCTATTTGTTCAAATATAGTCGGTATCTTGGCATTCATTGTTGTCTATTTTTTACAAGCATTTTATTGCAAACCCTATATATAGGCAGACTTAAGCATCTGCGTACATGAGAAATTCGACTACTTTTGAGGATATAAAACTTATCATGTACAAGACTGCACCGAATCGCCGCTTGGAACACCACAACATGCAAGCCACAGAATGAATGAAAATTTCTCACGGCATCTTGGCGATGACATGGTTTTTATTATTTGCATTATGCTTCGTGTTCGAATCACTCAATGCGAGTTGTGTAAAGTTAGTTTGTCAATAAAAATGTTAAAAAATGCTGTCCGCAGTTTTTTCCTACAGTTTTATAAATGTCCAACCCAAGGGGACACAGAAGGAAATTTTGTTTCGATATTACGTTGACTTGGGTGAGTTGTTGCATACTCGGACTCAAATGAAGACAGAAAACTGCGTCTATCTGCACAGCAAGCGAGTAACAATGCCAACTCCCACACCACCCTTAAGATGACCCGAATACACGGGCGTTGACTGACAACTGCAGTTAATGGCAAAATTACACATTCTATATATGTCGCGGTAAGTCATTGGCAAAAGAGGAAGGAAATATAAACATGGTTTGACGCACAGAGCTAAAAATGCAAAAACGTCAACCAAGGAAAGTCAGCAACGAAACGTGAACGCTAAGTTTTTGTAAGAGATCTAAGACCCGACATGCAGTCGCATCTAGAAGATAAAATTTAGGCCAAAAGGGTGCATGAGACAGGGCGCTAGCACACTAGCTATCAAGTTTCTTAATATAACAGGCTTTTAAGCTGATACACGCAATCTTGTGTTCGCTACATCTTAGAATCATCACCGTTTTATGCTGGGCCCCACAGCTTGTGCACCTGTTGACACGTACAACTAAATAGGCGTAGTCCTCATCTATCTTTTCCAATTTCTTCTGTTTGTCTAAACAGTCATGTCATAATAATGACAAACATAAATGGCAGAACATGCATGACATATATAAGTTCAGTATATAGCTTAGCATATACCTGAACGTACATGCATGCACACACGACCAACAAATGATAATCAGAGACATGTCATGACGCAAGTGATGAGGATACGAGTGAACCAAGGAATTGGTTCACTTTAGTGCCCTTTTAAGTAACCGTTTCACTCTCAAAGCTGTCATCAGACGATTTTCTTCACCCGTTCAATCGTCCACACCAACTCTAAATGGGCACTAGGTGCATAGAGTGGAAGGTACGAACTGTTAACTTTCATTGGGAGACTAATAACAGGCAGAGTTCTTCTTTTACCAACTGGAAGAAGTTCCATGTCCTGTTCCTTTTCTAGCAAGGTATTAAAGAAGATCGGCCAGAATGTGGGTGTACATGTTGTTTTTTTCGGCGCCGCACAGCTCATCTCAATTTCGCAGAAGGGCAGCCACCCTTTGGCGAGAGGAGACTTTCGATGTAAGGTGAAGCTTCGCAAGCGGTTTGCGGATTGTGTTTGTGGGGTGGTTTACAGAATCCCTCTTCGTGAACATGCAGATCACGTGCGGAACTGGAGGTATGTTTTCTGGCTCTTCAGTGTGGTTATCCTCCTGTGTTTGATCCAGGCCACGGTGGTCGCATTTCAATGGGGGAGAAATGGTGGAGGCCCGTGTACTGTGTGCTGTCAGTGCACGCTAAAGAGCATCAGATGGTCGAAATCTGCGAAGCCTTCCACTACAGCGTCTCTAATAATCCTATGGCAGTTTTGGAAGTGTGGCAGTTTGGGCTAGTTGGTATGACATTACGATAGTTATAGCGCGAGAGCAGAACGACGACAAAGGGTGCTCGTCTCCTTCTTGTCCGTTTGTCGTCGTTCTGCTCTCGCGCTATAACTATCGGAAGTTTTGGGACGTTAAGGCCAAACCACTAATATTATTATATCAAGAGTTTTTTAACCATTGACTATGGGCGTTTGCTGTCGGGATGAAGATGTGCGACTAGGGGCTCATGTTGATGGTGCTATGGCTGCCAAATGCAAATTGTGCAAGCTTTATATCAAAGTACAGTAAACATTCAACTATTACGGCGTAAATGTAGCGCAAAAAAAGACACGGACAATATAGTGTACACCGCAAGTGCATATTCACAACTGAAAGCTTTAATGCTTGAACCGAAAATTTAACTACTTCTGAGGACACGTTTTACTTTCGTGCTATGCCGATTCTTATGACGGGGAGATTAAGCGCGCTTTTTTCTTCGTCTTTCTTTCTACTTTTTGCCCCATCTCATTTTTATTGATCTTATTCTCCTTACCCTCTTCACAGCTCAGGGTGGCCAGCCGACCTGGGAACTGGCGATCTTCAACGCCCTTTTATTCTTCTTTTCCACCTCCTTTTCTTTTCTTTGACACTCGACAAGAGGTAAATAAGCCAGTTGTGTGTTCGCGAACCACCTGTGCTGCATAGTCCCTGTATCACCCCTGCGTCGTAGTACGAAGAGCTAAAAGAAATCACGAACAATCACCAAATAGCCTTATTTATCATCGTGATAACAATCCTATTTATACTCGAGGAAAGTCTTTACGAAAAACATGCCACGTGAGAGGCATATTAACACTACATTATCATTTATTTGTCCATGGTGAAGCAAATCCTTTGGACTCGACAAAACGGGAGGGACCCTGTGGATGCCTATGTTGGGATGCATCGAGAATGATTTTTCCGCCGACACATGGGGCACAGAGCACTAATCAGAGGGCGCATGCTCAACGGTGGTGTAGACGCCACTGGGAGAGATGCCTGGAGGAGAGAGAGGGGGGAGCGAGCATAGATGACGTAGGCTAGCAGACGCTAGCTGCGTCAGCGTTTCGAGGTGAGAGAAGAGGAGCGTAGTGGAGGAGAGAGAGGGGGGGTCGCGCATGCACAGTAAATGTGGTGACGACGCACACCGGATTCAGCTCAACCATAAGGGGCTTCACTCATCTAATAAATGTGTAAAAAGAAATAATGATGATGTTTGATGTTTTGTGGCGCAAGGGCCATTTCATGGCCAAAGAGTGCCATTTCATCTTACTAAAGATATGAACAATGATTGTGATAAGCGACTGTATAAGGGCCATAAAATTGCGCGCATTAAGGCGGGTAAAAACATAGAAGTAATAATATTATGACCATGCCGTGTAAGGTGTGTGGTGTTAATAAATTACAAACGTTTGTGATAATAAAAACGATGGTGAACATGTATGACATTAGCCTCACTCAAGGCGCCACTCAAGGCGCCAATACACTTCGACATGACGCTGGCAATCGTTTCGTCGCGTCACGCCGATGACACGCTTTGACGCACGTGTTTTTCAGGGCTCCCAGCGTCCATCCATCACGAAGCGAGGCAGACCAATGCCTCCTCGAAGTGCTGTCTGGGTAACGTCATCGGTGCGAAATGCAGCATTTCATATTTCGTGCCAGTTGCCGCCGGGCCGCGCCGACGGACGCTGGACGCGCTGGTCACGCCTTGCATAAAACGATAGAGTGCTCGCGTTTTGCTAGCGTAATGTCACTGCGCTCAGCGCGCGCGCGCGTCAACGTTTGTTGGAGTATATTGGGCCCTTCATGATGAGTTCGCAACCGTTTCGTTAGCTCCACATATACCAAATTTGGTGTTACGTGACGGCGATGGATTATGAAGGTATATGACACGTCAAAACATGATAATCATGATATGCGTGTCATGTAAAGCGGGTGATTCCACGAGAGATTGACACGGGTCCAAAAGTTGATATTTTAGATTTCATTGAGTATTTTATATTTTGTGTACCTCTCACCAGGTAGCCCGAAAGTCAACTTTGTTTTATTATTAACGGCGTAACTTACGAGAAAAAATATCAAACTTCACCAACATGGAGGCACCAACTTCGTCACCTGTCATTTTCGAAAATTGCAGATGCTATAAAAAGAGAAATATTTTTGTTTCAAGGAAGACATTTTTTACCTGAAATGCATGTCTAATGAAGAATGAATTCATGTGATTTCACGTTTGTAGACCTTAAGAAAATAGCTTTTAAAAATGTCTAATTTTGCAACAGTTTAAAATCGGTTACGTATTTCCCTTTTTTTTTCTCCGAAAGTAATGCAAGCAGCATTTTCAAACTTGACACGTTTTAAGGATATGATGCGTCATTAGGTACATAAATTATTGTTGCCGTAGGGCAAATGCCACTTTTTATATATATCCTCAAAGCTCTCGTATTAGGAAAAGTGTACTCCAGTGAAATTTCAATAACAAAAAACCCCATCTTCGATTTTTCTTAAAATCTCGTAAATAGACAACCAAAGGCCATCATATAAATATATAGAAAAACATGTTGCACTATTTTGTTTTTAGCGACAATATTCGTGGTACAAATCAGAGCTTTTCGAGAATGCACTGAGAAGTTGAGAAATCTAGAAATCGGAATGGAAAAGCGGCAATAAGCTTCAAACACGCGAGTAAACGTGACCGCATTTGGTGAAGAAAGGCTGTTTTAGCACTGTGACAAATACGTACCCATGAAGGCGCATTTATGCTCCTGAAAACACAGCTCTAATGGAGGAAATCTTCGACACTGTAACTCAGTTGCAAAACATCTGTCTCTATTTGCAGATAAACTCAAACATGAAAATGTTCCAACGCAAGTGTTGGGTCTCGCTAGAAAAAGCATATGCGCTTGAAGTACCCTCACTGGTATTTTGGTGGTGACTGCGTGAAACAACAGATGCGCTCAAAATGGCTGCATCTTTTGCAGATCACATTCAGCAGTACGTGACGCTAACAAAACACGACCATGATCAGTGCCCTCATATGTGCTTAGCCGAACATGCCAAGAACGTATGCCTGGAACACGTGACAACTTCCACTGGCTCTTCTTAAACTGACGGAATGTTTCTAGCTCGTCTGAATTTGCACACAGCAGCTTGACATTCTTGAGCTTCGCACTCATTTGCGCAACCATTTGGGATGCTGACATAATCACAGCTGAGCTTGCCCCTCTGAGGTTGTAGAGCGTAGCCTGATTCTTTAGTAGGCCACCAACGCCATCACAAGAGTTCTTGCCATGTCCTGTGGCTGAAAAAATCCACTTTGTTGATATATGATCTTTCTGACACAACTCGAACAACTGGTACTTGTTTTCGAACTAACTGCATGCACCATCAGAAACATAAGTAACATGCGTGTCAGGCTTAAGTTGTTCCTTCATATAGTTGTGGATTATTTGTAGAGCAAAACAGGCATGTGCAGCATCATGGCATGTGTCATCACTGATGACGGCAAAACTTTGAATTGATTGCTTCCTTGTGACG